ATGAGACACCTTCTTACTCCAGGACAGAAAGTTAGAAGATTAGAGAGGGCGAAGATCATCTTGAATAAATGGGAAAATTATCCTGGAATAATATATATATTTGAACTTTATTTCAATCCTTCATGAGCTTCAGATCCTTAGCTATGATTAATTAATAATGAACATGCTATTTTCGTTTAGGATCGATTTTCCTGTTAAGCTTGGAGAATAATTATACTAATTCTTATTACTCAAAGTAGAGTCCAGTAGTGTCATAAAAATCTCGGAAAACTCCAGTAAGATATTCTTAATCCTTTCTAAAATACAGCAATTGGACAGTTTTGCATTTACATGATTTGGACAATTTTGATGTTACACCCGGTATGTAGCATTGGACTTTATTAATAACAGCATTATGAAATATAAAATATGAAATATATTATGTAAATGACGTCATCAAAATTTGAATCATCCAATCATGAGCGGAAAAAGCTCAAATTAATAATAAAAAATAGTTCGTTAACTTTTAAAATGCTTTTGTCTAATTCCTTTAATCTCTATATTTAGATTGCGACGTACGTCAAATACATTTTAGAGGGGGAGTTGCATCCCTTCTGTTATCTAATGGGTTTCACCATCCGTAGAAATATCACTGTTATGGTAATTTACCCACGCCAGCTATAAATAGGTATTGCCTTCTTGGGGAGGGAAATTTCCAGCAGTCAGCTCTGACATTCGGACCGAACATTCTTGCTGTAATACTCTAGTTTGTATATGTTAGTTTGGTTTGATAAGTAGGGATAACTTGGCGCGATAGTTTAACTGCATGAGACAATCCTGAAAGTAGTTATTTACATTGTTCGGACTGTTTTCCTCATCCTTATTGCCATATTCTCAACGCTTCAGCCTTCTTCATGTGATCGGAATTTCGAACTGAACCCTTTATTTCGTCCATCCGAGAAGACTCTTCTAGTTCCACGTGCCTCCAGCGGAAATCTCAGTTATCCACCTTTAACTGAACTTTCCAAGATTTTGTTCACCACTGCAGTAGCCAGCTATTGAACTCACAACTCTTTGGTCAAGTCACTGGATTCAACCAATGCTTTATCCACAGGGCCAGGTATTCTTGAGGACGTCAGTGTAAAAAATTTGGTGACTGTAAAATTAGTGTCTCAGTTTTCATTTTTACCAGAGCTCATATTGCAATTTTATTGTTATTATTGCTTTTCTCTAGCACTCCGTATTACTGATTCCCATATTGTATTCATTTCTGTGCTTGACTGGCTCAAGAGATTTTTGTAGCCTAGCATATGTGCTGATTCTTTAAGTTTTCATATTTTCCAGTGATGTTCTCTGTCTATTATTTCACTCTGATCCTAGGAGGGTGGGGGATATCTCTTTTTTCCGATTTTTCTATTTTCCCTCGTGTTATGGCTTTACGATGCTCTTGCAGTCTTACCTTAAGAGACCGGCCTGTTTCTCCATTATATTTCTTACCACAGCTGCATGGGATTGCGTACACACAGTCCTTAGTCATGTTGTCCTCAAGGAGAGGGGACTTACTAGGAAAGGTTACTGCGAAGTGTCAAACTACTTTTGTAATTTCTCCGATAATCCATTCACATAGGGTAGGCAGACCGGAGTTGTTTTCCGAGTGTTGTTATTCTCAATCCCAGTTTATTGATGCTGTTGCCATGTACCCAGGGTAGTTGTTACGTTGCATATCTCTGGATCCTCATTTATGACATTATATCGTTGTTGTAAGCAGCGGACGATCCCATTCTTTACACTCTATGGGTGATGTGAATTGAAATTGCACTATTGTCCAGTTGGCTTGTGGTATATGGATGCCTTGAACCCCTGCTCTGTTCGAGATATTAGTACATCCAAGAGTGCGAGTTTGTTGTCTTTTTCTCTCTCCACTGTGAACTTTATTGGTGATCTTATTGAGTTCACATGGTCCAGTAATAGTTGGACCTCTTCCTGCCGTGACCAGAATATGAAGGTGTCATCTACGTATCTCGGTCATAGAGTTGGCTTTAGTAATGTGGATTCTAATCCCATTTCTTCGAAGTATTCCATGTATAAATTTGCCATTGCTGGTGATAATGGCGAGCCCATTGCTAAGCCTTCATCCTGTCGATATAAATCTGATCCCATTCCGAAGTGGGTACAGAAAGTCATCATCTCTATCAGGTTATATATTGTTATAATGGTCCGTTCTCCAATGGGTGAGTCCGAGACCAGTCTGTCTCTCACTACCGATTGTGCCTTTGACGTAGTTACCTTGGTGAACAAACTCACCGAGTCCAGACTCACTGGTTGGATTGGAAGGGAGTATCTTTGATTATTTCCACGATGTGGGCGATGTTTTGGACGTATGTAGATGAAGAAGGCCGGAGCGTACAACGGCCGAAATGTCGTGAATATGAAGATAAAGACGAGGACAAAAGTTCAAACAATGTAAATAATATAAATAATTACAATATCTCATCTCAGAAATATAGACAGATACAAAAAGTAGTTGTTTTGTACTTCAAATAAATTATTATACATAGTTAAAAAAAAAAAAAGTGAGACATGATTTGTTATAAGAAAAGGGGCATTTTTTTTATTAAATTTTGCTCTCGTCAAAATATCCTCCTTTAGCCTTGATTGCTGCAGCACAAATTTTTGGCATTCGTTGCAAAAGTTTCTCAAAGTATAAGTTTGATAATTGATTCCATTCTTTTTTTCGGTGACTTTAAGGGCTCGTTTTTTTGTTATTTTTTTTTTCTTTTTTTCGTTTTTTTTTTTTCACCCTTCTGCCAAGTTTATACGATGCTAATTCTGGGAGTGGCTTCATATTTTGAACTGCGATAGGTAAGTGACATTTGGGACGCTGTTACTTCTGACTTCTCTCACAATAGACTAAAGAACCAGATCATCCCTTCGGCCAGCGAGTGACTGCAAAGTGTCTACCTACTACCCCACTGTCCATCTCGCCTCTCTACATCTTCACCGACGTATTGCCACCCGCCAACGTGTGGCACGAAACTGATAATTCTCACTGTGACTGTATCTATCTAAGCTTACAAACGGAACTTAGCTTCCGACTAAGCGGCACTTGATCTCGAAAATTTTTATTTATTTATTTGTTACATTTCTTTTTATTTCTTCTCGTCAACGACTGATTAGTTGGAAAATCTTCCTCTTAAGATTCACTGCTAGTCATAAAACCCAGCCCAAATAAAAAGGTATCAGGGAAGCAAGTAAACGGAAGTGTGTTCAACAAGCAGGATATGCGAGAAAAGAAATTTTTTGAGTAGAATTGGGGCTTGCATTTAGCTACTGCAACACTAAATTGATGCCAACCTAGCTACCAACTTAATCTCACGCAGTCGGGACACCGGGGGAAAAGCTCATCAGAGTAGTTGCCATGAAAATATTTGTAGAAAAGACAGAGGGAGGCCACGTCAGGTCGGTGAACCTCGACATGATTGCTTCACTTAACTTTGATCCTCCCTTTGAGTGTTAAACCCTCTAAGCATTTCTTTCTTAATATCAGATTCTGTTAACATCAGTTTCTTTTTAATTCCTCTTGTAGGGATACAAAGTTAATCTAACAAAATTCTGTAGAAAACTAACCATTTCAAAATAAGTGCAACGCACACATACAGAGTGATCCGAAAATACTGTCACTTCACTACCAAAATGTAATGAGAACAATAAAAGAACAAGTAATACAAAGCACATGTATTTCATTCCGTTTATTCACTTTCATTGACGCTGTCACACATTGAGAAGGTCTATATGAACGACATCATTTTCGTGGCGCAAAATGACGCGGCGCCATATGCTCTGTGATATTTTACAAAGCTGTACTTTGTTGATTGTTGCAAAGGCTCTTTGAAGAGCGTCCTTTGACTGATGGGTATTCTGGTATTGTTTATGTGAAACTCTCTCCACAGAGCGTTGAAATAGAAAATTATATTATGTAGGATTGACAAGACTTTCGAACCACCGTGTAGATTATTAATAAGGATATTTTTAGAAATACGGTTCAAACAACGAAATTCAAATAAAAGAAATATACACAGAGTTACTAAGTAAATATAATTTAAAGTTGATTGATAAAGAAAAAGCTTTGAATGAAATGAATGTTCTTTTCAGATGTTTGAGTTTAGATAAAATGCCCGGATGTATATGCGTAAAAGGGAAAGGAGATTAATATGCACAAGAAATGGTAGGTGGCTAGGAATCAGTTGAACTTTCAGCATGTCAGTAAACGTGGGTAGACTTCTAAAGACAGTTCCTTTGAAATTGCCGGTAGCCAAAGTGGAATCCTATTGAATCGATGACGTCTACTGACTTTTTAGGTTGCCAACAGCATTTATATTTCTTTTTAGTAACTACTTTTGGCTTCCTTTAGCGAAACAAAAATAGATCGAATTGATTTGTCCATTATTCTTCCGTTATGGATTCTCTACCATGTCCATGCGAAACGGGTCCAATGAAACCGATTCTGAAATTTATAAAATTGAAAGCACGAATGTTTTTTTCTTGTGTACTTAAAGATGTGCGTAGGAATGTATCTGTTGCTTCAAGTCTTTTTGGCACCTGCATTCTCTGTCTTGTCGGAAATTAAATAATGCATTACAGCCCAAAACCTCTTTTTATTTTGTTTCTAGCAACAATTTTCAAATCCCTTAATCAGTTTGTAAAAAAGTCAGCCGTTCGAATTTCTATGTCAGCATTTGCCGGGTCTGTTACTAAATTTCGGTCCCGGTTTAATCTCCGACGATTAACTCCCACCTGAGGTTGCTCCTTTTAATCGCAACCAATCATTCCACTTTTGTATACATTGTATTTTCCAATCAAATTGTAGGTCATTTACATTATAGCAGCCCTGATATACCGCTGCACATGCATAAAAAACCTACTTAGCAGTAGCCATAATTTTTAGCTTTACAGGCATGCATTTAGAACTGGAGCATGCGCAACACGAATTGTAGAAGAGTTAGGACTTAGACCACGAATGAATGGTGTTGCCAGAAAACAACGTTTGGCCTAGACATTTTTTTCTTATTTTGTTTCTTTCTACTTTCTTGTCTTTCTTTTTCCTTATTCTCTTCTTTTTTCTTTTCTTTTTTCCTTTTTTATCTTTTACTCTCTCTTTCTTTTTTCTCTCTTTTTTTCGTTTATTTTTTCTTTCTTTCTCTTCTTTTCTTTTTTATTTCTCTTCTTTTTTCTTTCTTTTCTTCTTCCTCTTCTTTTTTCTTTCTCTTTTTTCTTTTCTGATTTCTTTCTCTTCTTTTTGCTTTTCTTCTTTTTCTTCTTTTTCTTTTCTCTTTTTACTTTTTCTTCTTTTCTTTTTCTTTCTTTTTATTCTTTCTTTTCTTTTTCTTTCCTTTTTTCTTTCTCTTCTTTTTCATTTTTTCTTTCCTTTCCTTCATTTTTCTTTCTCTTTTTTCTTTCTTTCTCTTCTTTTTCTCTTCTTTTCTTTTTCTTATCTCTTTTTAGTTTTCTTCTTTCTCTCTTTTATTTTACGCTTTTCTTTTTTCTTTCTTTTTCTTTTTCTTTCTTTTCTTTCTTCTTTTTCTTTGTTTTTTTTTTCTTTTTGTTATGGTACCTTATGCATAATAACATAATGGACTATTCCATACGGAATAAATACTGCGCCTCAAGAGGAAGCAGGGAGTTCCGTCTGAAGTCTAGCGTTCAGCCTGAAGTCTGGAGTGAAGTCCGTCAGGAGTCTGTCAGTCAGTCAGTCAGAGCGAGCGAGTCAGTCAGTCGAGTCAGAGGCAGTCCGAAACAGAGTCGCGTTCAGACAATTACTACTAAACCTGATTGTTCGTACTAACACTTCTAACTACTTCTCTGTATATATTCCTGTTTGTAATATATCTGTGTTATTCCATATCCGTATTCGAGTTCTTCTTTATTGGTTCTACCTTGGACTATCACCGTGGTACAAGGAACCGGACCATTTCAGCTTTTATTTCTTTTTCTTATATTTCTTTTCTTTTTATTTCTTTTATTTTCTTTCTTCTTTCTTCTTTTGCTTTCCCTTTCTTTATTTTTTTTCCTTTTCTTCCTCGCTCTTAACAAAGTACAAACATTCATTTCTTTTTTACATGGAATATTATAAGAACAATCCGAATTAACATTTCTTTTACTTCTGATTTTGTTTATTAACGTTTGCCTAAATCTCTTTTAACCAACTCATCGCAAGAAGTTTGTCAGCACACAACATTTTCTCAACGTCAATTGCTACAATTTCAACACCGCCCGTCGCGTGTCACCGAAGTTAATACTGGTCACATCATTTATGACAGATTGTCAACAATGAAGCACAACGGCTGACATCGGAAGCAAAGACAGAGAAATAACCGTTCGTCTGTTTCTGTCAAATGCAGCTCAAGGTCTTCATATTAGTAGCCGCTTGAAAAACACGGATGATAGCTCATGGCAAAGAACAGAAAAAACATCAGAAATTGTATTTGAAATCAAAATAAATTCTCTGAAATGAGAGGAATAGTTAATTAAAAGAATACATTGTCTTCGTTTAAGAATTAATGTGATAAAACATGACGAAATTTTTTGTCAATGTCGATTAGTTTTTTTTCTCTCTCTGTCTATCTTTTGTGAATCTATTGGTTAATATTAATTATATTCGTCATTATTGAAGATGTTAGATTCGTGTTTCTGCGGGGCTTTTTTCTGAAATTTAATGTTCTTCAAAGTGAAAAGCGCTTCTAAAAAAGAAGTTATTTCGAACTGAAAAAAAAATGGTTTCCTTTTATTTAATTAGTCTAACATCAAGTACTATCAATTAGATTTGTTGAATATCTGCTTTTTCTGTCATAATTTCCCTCGGAGTTTAAAAAATATCTACATTGGTAGTAGTCGGAAATGTGTACATCTCGTAGTAATTGTAGATACAATAGTAACTATAGATTTAAGATGTCCGAGTATTTTGAAGGGATGATTTTCAATTTTATATTTAACTATAATTTTGTTTATATTTTTTGGGGATTGTTTACCCCTAGTAGTAATTATGTAAAACTTTTAAGCTATCCGGGCATTTTTAATGAATTATCAATTAATTAATATTAATGATATGAATTATCAATTAATTAATTAATATTAATGAATCAATTATGCGTTGTTTTCCTGTATCCCTCTTGGCTTCAGTCTGCCATGTGAGTATCCAAATTTCCAAGCCTTCTTTTCTCATTATGAGATCTAGAAATTTCAACTGTCTCTTTCGGGTGTTAAGTATAAGTGTCCTTTTTCTTTCCATTTTTTCTAAAAATGTCGTCGTTGCTCACATGTTCGAACAATGGTATTCTCAGCATCCTTCTGTAGAACTACATTTCTGTTGTTACAAGTCTCTTCTCCATCTTTGAGGAGATTGTCCAGCATTCAATGTCATATAGGAGGACTGATATTACATAACAGTTAAGAACATCTAGCCAGCTAGTATGAGAGACAAGCTTGTGAACGACAGACAGCTAGCCAAATTTATCCGTTGTTTCGATATGGTCTATACACGCCCCTAAAATCCCGAGATTTAAGAAGAGTTATTGCGCGTTTTTAATTTTATATCATTAATCATCATTAGTCACTTTTTCTACGTCAGGCAGATTACGAAATAAAAGTGTTGTATAGCCCCCTCATGGTGGGAAGCTCTTGGGCGTCGGCGTCAATTCGATAATAAAGTTGCATTGTTCTGTCGGGGCGGTTGATCGCTAGTTGTTTTTAGTTCAAGATGGAAAGAACTTCAACATATAGACTTTTAACTCAACTATTTTATTAACGTTCTTGTCGACTTCTATCTATCCAGTGGGGGTCGTTTCTCCTCCGCTGGGGAGCCGTTCCAGACACGAAAGAAAACGCATCTACATTGTTTGACGGTTCAGAAACAACATACGGAAAAAACTTTATCTAATCTATCTCCTTTCCCACGCACGTTCAGCCAATGAAAATCGACTTGCTTTTTTTTTTGTCTTCCATCTGGCCTCAAAGGTCAATCGCGAGAAGTTCCGAGCAGAGATTTTTTTTTAAAGCATTACGCCCCGAGCAAGTCGAGAAGTCTCTAGGATGCCAGGGGTTGCAGAAGATTTGGAGCGAAAGCAGATAGGAGTGAAAGGATGAGTAGAGGGATAGTGGGTAGATCAAGGTAACAGGAGGTGTCGATTGACATTACATTTGAATAGTTGGAGATTATAGCTATCAGGGAAACAGTAATTGGGAAGGTTGTTCCACAGGCGAGAGGTGCGAGGTATGAAGCTATTGGAGTAGAAGAGACGGCTACATTTAAAAGTTTCTATAGTGAAAGGGTGAGGGCGCTTGAATTCATGGAATCTGGGAACCAGTGAAAGCAGCTCATCGAAGTAATTACCATGAAAGTATTTGTAAAAAAGATAGAGAGAGGCGACGGTGCGTCTGTGAGAGAGTGACTGTAGACAAGACGCCAGGGCCAATTATATTGCATATCCGTCTCTGGATCTTGTCAAGAACTCCGAGGTAAACGGAAGGTGCCCCGGACCATATATGGCAACAATACTCCATGCAAGGACGAATGGTTGATTTGTATATTTGAAGTATCGATTCCGGGGAGAAAAATTTCCTGGCGCGGCACAGAGAGCCAACTTTCCTTGCGGTGGACGAAGCAATTGACTCAATGTATTTGTTCCATCTCAGGTCAGCAGTCAACATGAGACCGAGCAGACGCAGAGAGTTGCTCTCAAGAAGTTGAGCATCAGACATTCTAATGGGGGTCAGGGAAGGATCTCTATATTGATTAATAGAGAGCAGTTTAGTTTTTGAGCCGTTAAAGTTGACCAGCCAATTCTTGCCCCAATTAACAACCGATTGGAGATCCATTTCAAGACGCACGGCCAGGTTAGTTTTGTAAGCGACACTAGATTTGTTTTTGAGGCAGGAGTAAATTGTAGTGTCGTCCGCGTAGATGCCAACTTGGGAATCTATGGCGCCAGGAAGATCGTTGGTGAAAATAAGGAATAGAGTGGGGCCAAGAATGGGACCTTTGGGGAACACCTGCGTTCGTGGGATTCAATTCACGGTTTGACAGGAATGATTGTATTAGGTCAAACAATCGACCTGTAATACCATCACCCTGGAGCTTGCGAAAAAAGCCGGCATGCCAAACGCTATCAAACGCTTTGGAGATGTCTAGGGCCACGGCACGAGCCTCGCCGTTATTTTGAAGGGCTTGGTAGACGGTTTCAGTGATGGCCGTAAGCACCTGTAGATCGGGCGTAGCGGAAACCATATTGCTTGTCTGAGAGCAGATCATGGGATGTAAGGTGGTTAACCACTTTGGCATTGATTAGGGCTTCGAAGACTTTGTCGAAGAGGGGTAGGAGACTAATAGGACGGTAATTAGAGGGGTCAGAGGGGTCGCTAGAGTTCTTAAAGACAGGAACAATGGATGGGGACTTCCAGCAGTCAGGAAAACAGGATTCCTTGAGGCAGTAGTTATATAGTTTAGAGAGGGCGAGCGATAGTTCAGGTGCGCATTTCTTCAAGACAATGGCTGGTATGCCATCTCCACCACTAGCCTTGTGGAGGTCTAAATTGAAGATAATGCTCAGTACAAATGATGTATGTGTAACCCGCTCAATAGAGGCTCAGTTCTTAGAGGGAAGTCGAGTATGGGTACACCGAGGAGTCGAGCGTTGAATTAAATGAGAATTTCTGAGCAAAGCATTCAGCCTTGTCGGTAGAGGAGGTCAGGACCACGAACTGGTTGAACAAAGGAGGTATGGAGGGTTCAGGACACTGTTGCAGAGCCGCCAATAATCTTTGGAGCCAAATTTGCGAGATGCAATACGCTCCTTCATCCGAGCAGCAAATATTGACTTAGCTTCGTTGAGGACACGCTTACACTCATTACGGGCGGAGGCAAAGAGACGTCTATTGCAGTCCGACATGTCGCTACGAAATATGTGAAAGAAGTGATTCCTATGGGCAATGGCGGCTGAGCAAGCAGCGGAGAACCAAGGGGAGGAGTGCGACTTGACCATAAATATCCTTGAGGGGCTGAAAGCGTCGATTCCAGCTTTAACCCAAGATGAGACCTCAGAAGCACATTCTTGGACAGGGAGTGTAAAGACAACATCCCAGGGGACATCGCGGAGGAAGTCACGGAACGAGTCCCAATCCGCTCGTTGATAGTAGAACGAGGTACTTTGCGGGGTGTGGAGTTGAAGGAAATGTTAACAGATACTACAGCATGTTCGGAGTTACCAAGAGAGAAGAGCTGCGTGGCGCTACAAGATTCCGGGATGGAGGTAAATCACAGGTCGAGAAGAGAGGCCTTACCTTCCAGGTTGAGGGCAAAACGCGTAGGGAAGTTAACTATCTGCGTGAGGGATTCAGAAATTGAGAAATTAAGTGTTTGAATGCCAGCCCGGTCAGTAGTAGCATTCTCGAGCAACTTGGTATGATGGGCGTTAAAGTCACCAAACACGAATATGTGAACAAACGGATGGAGAGAGCCTTGTCTATGCTGTCAGATATGCTATCGAGTATCCCACAGTCGATAGAGGAAGAAGAGATAGCTTACGGCATTGAGGAGAGATAGTATTGTAGATTGAAGGCAAATGGCTTACACTTTTCAGAACGGTTATTTTCACTTTGTTTATCAGATTATGATCTGTGATGATGCACATCGATTAATTTGAAATCTTTCAGTTTGATTGATTTGTTTGCTACGGATTATCAACCTTTTGTGGGTTATTTAAAGTACGAAAATATGTAGAGATTCTGTGTATAATGATTTAATTAATCTCTGAATATTGACAATCATTTTCTACCTGATTTTCAATGCATTTGCACTGTTCGAGTGAAGAATTTGTTGAACATAATGATTTAGTGATACAAGTTTTACTAATTAATCCATAGATGAGGGGGAAGAGGTGGATCAATACCTCTGCCAACGCGTAGGTGAATATTACGAAACTAACAGAAATTCGAACTCAGGTCTCCGATTAACAATTCCGAGCCATTACATCATCCGCACTTTCAAGGTTACGACGCCTGAGATTCCCAAGCGGTCACCCATCTAAGTACTGACC